ACCCTCGGCAGCAAAGGGGGGGAGGGCTTTAGTGTACGGATTTGTACAGATTTGAATAACTGTCTTTAGTAAGGATCGATAGTGGGGTCCCCACAGTGCGCACGAAGCGCGCTCCACTCCAATACGGGCACCTGGGTTTAGCAGGTAGAATGGATGGGGCGTATCGTATCCTTTGCATCGCCTTTATACAGGACATACCTTTGCATGGGACAAAACGCGCATCTTCGGAGTTTGCCCCTCCAAAAAACGCCGATAATTTCTTGAAACTATGCACTCCGATGATTCATGCATCAACCGGCGTATGCAGTTTGCTGGAGTGTACAAACACCTCAAAGAAAGGTGGAAGAGACTGCAGCCGACAACATGGTAATTAGCATCCACATCGGATTGACCCCGGATTGACTTAAATTACAGTTGCCAATTAGCCATTGCGACTGCTAATCATGTCCACCACGATGTGACGCAGATTGCAACTCCCAATTAACGCCCACACCAGATAACTATATAACTGTATCAGCACTTTGAAATGCTAACTGTTCTTTGCACATTGCTCTCAAGTCTGTCGACGACCTAGGGATCCAGTGTCGAAGATTTACTGAATACATTTACTCATGTTCTCGAAGGACGCTCTTCCTTGAAATTACATTTCTTTGGATGTCTGCCTTTCAGTTTATACGAAACCCCTCTATAGACCCCTGCCCTGCCCTTGACCCAGATTGCAGAAACCTTGACGGCAACTCGGTAAGAATCGAGTCTACGGCGGCAACGGGAAAGGCTATAGTTCAGCTAAACCTTCAACCAACTGAGCTACGAGGCCGCCATCGGGGGCCCTGAATTGAATCACACTGGGGTCCAGTTACCCACCCGCCCGCCCGACCTGCTGCAACTTGACTTGCGATTGGTCGTCTTTTTTCAAAAACAGTACGGCTCCGAATTCGTGCAACATACCGACAGATACGAAAGATTAATCATATCTCGCTAATCGGCATTGATTAAGGTTGTAAACTGCATATCGTGTAGTCTATTCTGAATTCATTTCAGTCACGAGATTATGCCGGCTTTCTGTTAACGAGCCTCGTAGTCCAGTTGGTTAGACGTTTAGTTGAGCTA